AAATATGAAAGAAAGGTGGGTTTGGTGTTCATTTTAAGACGGTTTGTGGTCATGGTAAGTGTCCACAATCATAGGAGGGTTTCCTCAACACCGCAGCGAATCTGCTGTAATTTGAGGTGTGCGTGATGTCACTCAGCAATTATTTACATGACAACATAATGTAGCATCCATCCATTGAGTGCAGGACAAAAATCTACCTGTTGACGTGTCCCAACAGAAGCATATCACACATTTTTACAGTAATAGTATTTTTTACAAACAAAGCCACTCTCATACCACTTGACAGATCATGTGTCATCACAACAATGCAACACATAAGCCATTTCGAACTCTTGACCTGTAGCATTTGAGGTAAAAATAAATATGTACATTACATTATATTTACATTTAGACATTTAGCAGACGCTTTTATCCAAAGCGACTTACAAATGAGGACAATGGAAGCAGTCAAAATCAACAAAAGAGCAATGATATGCAAGTGCTATAACAAGTCTCTGTTAGCTTAATGCAGTACAAGTTAGTTTTTTTTATAATCATATAATAAATAAAAAAGAAAACAGAATATATAAAGTATAGAGCAAGCTAGTGTTAGAGGCCTTTTTTGCTTTTGTTAATCAGATATCAGAAAGTCATAATTATAATTGTATAATAAATAAAAAGAAAACAGAATATATAAAGTATAGAGCAAGCTAGTGTTAGAGGCCTTTTTTGCTTTTGTTAATCAGATATCAGAAAGTCATAATTATAATTGTATAATAAATAAAAAGAAAACAGAATATATAAAGTATAGAGCAAGCTAGTGTTAGAGGCCTTTTTTGCTTTTGTTAATCAGATATCAGAAAGTCATAATTATAATTGTATAATAAATAAAAAGAAAACAGAATATATAAAGTATAGAGCAAGCTAGTGTTAGAGGCCTTTTTTGCTTTTGTTAATCAGATATCAGAAAGTCATAATTATAATTGTATAATAAATAAAAAGAAAAGAAAAAGAATGCAAAAATATTAGAGAAGCAAGTTTTTTAAAGAAAACAAGCAGTTAGTAATAATAAATACGGAAAAGTGCAAGTCTAGAAGGGGCAAGTTATTTTTTATTTATTTATTTTGTTTTTATAGAGAATAGAATTAGAATAGAGAGTGCTAGAGTTAGAGGGTCAAATAAAGATGGAAGAGATGTGTTTTTAGCCGATTCTTGAAGATGGCTCGGATTGAGTTGGGCAGGTCATTCCACCAGGAGGGAACATTTAATTTAAAAGTCCGATAAAGTGATTTTGTGCCTCTTTAGGATGGCACAATAAAGCGACATTCACTTGCAGAACGCAAGCTTCTAGAGGGCACATAAGTCTGAAGTAATGAATTTAGGTAAAGGGGTGCCGTGGTCCAAGAACTGAGCCCTGAGGCACCCCAGTAGTTAGATGTTGTGACTTGGACACCTCACCTCTCCAAGATATCTTGAAGGACCTATCTGAGAGATAAGACTCAAACCACTGGAGTGTGGTTCTTGAGATGCCCTTTGCCAATAGGGTTGACAGGAGGATCTGATGGTTAACCATGTCAAAAGCAGCGGACAGATCAAGCAAGATAATATTGAAGATTTGGAATCCGCTCTTGCCAGTCTTAGGGCTTCAACAACTGAGAGCAAGGCAGTTTCGGTTGAATGTCCACTTCTGAAACCAGACTGGTTGCTGTCGAGAAGGTTGTTCTGTGTGATATATACTGTATATATATATATATCTATACAGCCTACTATTGCCATCCATACAATTCATAAAAATAGACTCATATTCCTGATAGCCTGCTATTGAACTATTGCCACAAACCCTAGCAAAAAAAAAAAAAAAGTTGTGTATCTGCAGTGTGTTAATTTTTCAATTAAAATAAGTGATTTTCAAATGTCCTTCTTTCCCTCCCATACTATCTTTGTATGTGTTTGTCTTTGTTTTTCATTTTTATCACACTTATCCTCAAAGGAAAGTTATCCGACTTCCTGCTGCAGTGTTGGCTTAATTAAATTAATCTGTTTTAACAGTGCTGTTTTTTTTTTAGCAGAGTTGGTGCATAATGAGAAAGTTGAAGCTCAAAGGGCAATTTTGTTCTTACTGACTGCATTGTTAGACGTTTTTTGTCAGACAGTCTGCGGCAGCTTCACTTGTAGCCTTTTCTTCGGTCATGTGGCAAGTCTGCAAATGTCTAAGGCATTGAGCTCTGCATCACTGGAAACATGATATCATGCCAGATCATTATCACAAAATTATTATCGCAGATGCATTACAGGAGTGATTACTGTGAACAAACTTGACCGTATTTGGTTTCGCAGTATTACCAGAGGGCAATGGCTATGCTAATTATGTAATGCTGTTGCTGTCATCATTATCATAATCGCAAACACAGTCATCTGCTGGTGCACTACTACTATCATAATCATTATAGGATTTCTTTTCATAAAAAATAATCAAGTTTTTGTGAAGTGATTCATTATATCAATGGAAGCATTCAATCATGAGCAAAAATCAATCGGTGCACTACTACTATCATAATCATTATAGGATTTCTTTTCATAAAAATAATCAAGTTTTTGTGAAGTGATTCATTATATCAATGGAAGCATTCAATCATGAGCAAAAATCAATGGTTTGTTTGAAGATACAAGTGAAACAATAAGCCGTTTTGCATCTTAAGATGCCTTTATGTCCAGCTGTTAATTTTTTTCTCCTCCAGGGTAGTGTTTCTGAATTTGAAGCTGGTTTCTTTCAGCCCCGTGCCACAGTAAATCATCTAATGATGAGCCACTCCTTCCCTTCCTTGTCCTGTTCGCAGGAATCACTTGTGCATTTTGTCTTAAAAAGCTCTTAGTCAAGTGAGATATGGTTCAAGTAAGTGACTGTAATCACCAGTGGGTCATTCTGACAGGATTATGCAGCCATTTCTGAAGTCGACCTTTTATCTCATTTAAATTTTTCCAATCTTTCAATTAACCATCTCCCTTACCCCATCTGAGAGCATTTCATGGTGTATAGCAGAAGAGCTTAGGAAATGAGGCATCTATGTTTAAACTTCTAAAGCTGCATAAATAAACCAAGAAGGCATGCACACTCTTGTGAATCAGAAACACACTGTATAACGATGCCCACATGGGGTCGGCACATGCAGAACTTAGTATTTAATTTATTAAACATTTTGGCTTATTATATAACACTTTCAGCTTTAAATTAGAGTACCGTTAAACACATTTGACCATATTTAAATCCATACAAATCTGTAAATTTACCAAATGGAAACAAAGTCTGCAGAATCTGCCTGCAACTTAGAACGCGATATATACATGCATGATGTGCAGTATCTCTTCTGTTGTCAGTAAAGACATTCTTAGCTGCATTCTGCACTAATGCAAACATAATGATAGCCCTCACACAGAGGAAATGTGTTTGTCCACATGCACAATTTATATTGCACTTGAAGTGAAATGCCTATAATAAATGTAAGCACTCATGTGGCTCAGCATATAAATAGTTTAAACCTCAGTCAGAAGAGATGTTGTCTTCAACAAAGCAAATATTATGAAAAAGAAGTTTCACCAGAATCACAAGTAGTTGACTAAAACAGCAGCATTATTAAATTGATGTTGAATTAATGTTGAAATACTTTTTTCATATCCCAGTTTAATATACAGAGACAACTATAAGTGAGCCATTCGTAGGTTGATGCCCCTGAAAAGTTAACACTGTAGGTTGGCAATACTTTTTTAGGTTTGAGCATCTCATCCTGACATAGCAACACTGGCTCAACCAATAGCAAAAGGGCTCAAGTAGTTAGAATAAAAAAATATTTTATATAACTGATTATACTAGTTAAACACTGTAGGTTGGCAATACTTTTTTAGGTTTGAGCATCTCATCCTGACATAGCAACACTGGCTCAACCAATGGCATCAGTTTGAGGGTGGGACTATGTGTTTGCCCGGCCAATGGCAGACAGGAAAGGGCTCAAGTAGTTAGAATAAAAAAATATTTTATATAACTGATTATACTAGTTTATACTACAAATAAATCAAATTTCTTATTCGCAGTAATAGCTGGAAATTATACAACTTTAAAGTCACTCAGTGAAATCGATGCTCACACTTTTGATGGAAAACACTGGCATGTAAACATTTTTGTTGCTTGCAGTGCACCTGCATTGACTTGATAGGGAAAGTTGATAGTTCCGTCTAGTGGGTCATCCATCCTTATTGTTGAGCTCTGATGGGGAATATTTGGGAAACCTATTGGAAACATTTGCTATTTTATTTGGCAATGCTAGCGGCACAGAAATTACACACCTTTAGTGCCATTACGGTCTTCCTGTGAAGTGGTTTTAATGAGAGAGATCCTCTTTGAGGTTTTGGGAAGATGTGTGATGTCTAGTTGTCAGCTGAGTCACTGAGCATGTGGTTCTCGCTCTAATAATCTGAATCTACTTCACTCGGAAAGTGTCAGGCTATGACATCACAGGGATTTGAGTTTGCAGGGTGTACCGATGAAACATACTACCTAAAATATATTTGCATTGTTTTAAGGGTAAGTTTAGGGCAAGGGTAGGCATTGACGGGTAGGTTTAGGGTAGGGGTAGGTATGGACATTTTAAAAAGCCTCAAACCACATGAATAAGATGCTGGTAGCACAATTTGATAGGTAGCATTTTTCGCTATCAATTTGTGCTAGCTATCTTTTTAATGGGAGGTACCACAATCTGACCGGGTAGCACAAATCGTCTGAACAGGGGCTCCTACTTTTTGGAATGCAGGTTTCTGGTATTGAAACTAAAATACAGTTTCTTTATGCTCTAGGTGTTCACATGTGTTGATAAGTCAGAGAATTTCTCAATAGGAAATCACATCAGCAATACGAATGTTTTAAAATCATAAAATATACAAATATTCCAAGACAATAAAAAGATTTGCATTGCAAAACTTATTGTGTGCCTTTATGAAATTAATTTAAATGGTTATATGCTGTTTTGCAGCTCAGCGTCGGAGGATCTTGGGTGCCGGAGAGGAGAGTTCAGCCGGAAACACTATGGATCAGTTGAACTGGTGAGGACTGGTATATTTTAGCTTTTCTATGTATTTATATATTTACATATCCTTTTTCTTCTTCTTTCCAATCAATTTTCCTCTGCATGTGCACTTCTGTGAAGGGAGTAGCTATGTATTTCTGTTTGATTTTTGTATATATGTCTGTGGTTCTGTCTGTTTTATCAGATGAGATTTGTATGGCTTTGTAATTAAATTGCTAATTTAAACATCATCTCACCCTAGCAGTAGGTTAAACAGGCACAAAAATAGCATAATTTATATGATTGAGAGTGTTTTGCCTGGTCAAACACATGTGTTGTATTGAGTGGGTGTGGGTGTGTTTCTTTCAGCGGTGTCTGTCTCTCCCAGATAGTTGTTGCACGGAGGAAGTGGCTTAATACCACACTAGATGCTACTTCCTATGTGAAACATGCAGGAGGTTTGTTGGAAGAAAGAAATGGGTGACCTTGTGTCAGATAGTACCATGTCACAAAACCACATACATTATCATACACGACAGATGGAGAATATAAATGTGTGTATATGACTGCATGTGTGAAGGGCATTTGTTACTCCATGTGCCATTGTTCTTAGGTTTCTAAAGCTACCGTGGCATCCAAAAGTCTGAGACCAGTAATGAAAATGAATGTATTTTGATTACAAATGATATTATCAGCATAATAATTTGTTTTGAGAGATTTAAAAATTGTAAATGAATAGCATAGAAGAACAAAAATCTATGTAATCTTGTAATTGCCTTTTGCATAAGAATACCTACATGGTGCTCTGGGATGCTTGATTCTGACTGGTCGATCGTGGCATTCAGCAGTCTGATATTTCTGAATAATGACCGTTGTCCAGGGAAACTCAGTATAACTGACCTCTCTATGATTGTGCTTTGTTTCGCTACAGTTTCTACAAAGAATCTCAAATCAATATTTCAAATCAATTTCATGTCCATTAATTTATTTATTTTTTAAGCATCCATATACAGAATAATTTACATATCAAATCAATATTTTGTGGCAATGGCCATCTGATTGCTTACCCCTCTCTTATATCCATTGTAAATTTAAAACAAGAAATATCTAGTTCATTTTTTTTTTAAATGTAGCATGCAAGCCACATTTACTTTTATGTTGCATGTCTTTATTTTTCCATATGTTAGTTTTTTTTTTTTATCTGCATTGCTCTTTTTAAACCAGGCTGCGGTTACTATGAAATATGCTTGTACCGTTTCTCTCTTGCTGTGCTTAATTACATTCAGTATTCCAGAATGTGTATCTCTTATTATGGATTTCTGTATGTATCTGTCTGGCAGTGTTTTTCTGTTATATCAATTCTTATATTATACTACTAATTGATTCTGTTGCGGTTTTCATGCCAGTGGTTGCATAATTTTACATTTACACTTTGTGAATTTAGCATTTAATATTGTAATCATCATGACGGGAAAATAGCAGTATTGACCACCTTCATTACATTATTATACAATTACACTGATCAAATATACAAAAAGTAGACAGTCATCCGACTTTGAATAATAGTGCATGGTTATAGGGACATATTTTTCATAGGCTGGACCAAATGAATAAGAAAGGTGTATGCTCTTGATGTTTTAGATGTCATTTCTACATACATGGCTGACTAGCTGTATGGTTCAGTCGGTTTATATAAGTGCAGTAGGGATCCTCTTGTAGGTGATTTTATGACCTCTAAGTGCAAAGTGTGTATCTAAGTGCTGAAGAATGTAATGCATGTGTGTCTATGTGAGGTTTTTGAGTTAAAAGCTTCCCAAGTGCTCCATCCTCTCATTTCTGTATGATGACCTAATGTAAACATGACTATTGTTTAGAAGATATTATATGCTGAACCATTTCTAGAAGTGGCTAGACATCATCTAAAAACTGATTCCATAACCTATAATCATAGAAAACATTAGACCTGATCACAGATCAACAGCCAATGCAGTATCTTTGTTGGAAAGCAGAATGTTCTGCAGTTGATGACTTCTCTATTGACATACTACTGATTTACTACTGTTTTTTTTGCATACTTTATAGATAAGTAGGCATATTTGGATGCAGGTACTTTAATGCCAAAGGTTGACTACTTAATTAACATATTTAATGAGATACTAAAAAGATATGATTCCAACCAGGGAATCGGGGGTCGGTTAGGTGGTGTAACAAATGTAAAAACATTTTTATTTATAAATAATATTTTTATTTTAAAATATGTATGCTCGCATTCACTTTTGATCATATGTATAATGTGCCAAAAATGTTTCTGTTAATGTTTCTTGTCTCACATTCAATTACAAATGTAACACTTTAGTACAGGAACCAATTCTCAATATTAACTAGTTGCTTATTAGCATGTCTATTATTAACATGGCTGTTTATTAGTACTTATTTAGCACATATTCTGCACGACCATATTCTACATCCCTAATCCTGCCAATACCTAAACTTAACACTTACCTTACTAACTATTGATGAATTACATAAATGATATAGCCTAATTCCAAACAGTGTAAATAGCTTGCATCACTGTTTATTACTGTCAGTCATATTGTGTTTCCTCTGTAAAACATGTCAAATATTAAATGTTAAGCTACTTCACACTCTTTTATTGTTAAAAAGCGTTGTGCTGGAATTTGCACTTGGCTTCTGTGAACAGAAAAGCCAGTCTTTGATGTGATTGGCCATTTCAATCAGTTTGACATTTACAAGTGCTTTCAGAACACTGGCAGCACCTAAATATTGTTCCCTCTAATTGGTATATGGTGGTTACGGCCCTGATTCCAGCAACAAGCAGTTTTTCTGTTCTCATCGATAGTGAAAATGCTGTTCAATCAGAAGAGTATGTGAATCCGTTCTCTTAAATAGTTGGTTGTCACACTCACAACATACTGCATAGCTGAAGAGCATAAAAATAAAGGCACATACCTTGTTTTCATGATTTCAGTTATGCTTCACCAGACAGCGTGCTTTTTTATAGTTTTTGTAAAATTTGTCAATATCCAATGTTTCTATAATTCTACAATCAATCTCTCAGCTCTTATGTTTGTTTCATTATTTACTGTACATTGCAGAGCAACGTTTTGGTTTAGTGAAATTCTGGATGGAGCTACCTGGTGGGACACAGCAGGAATAAAATAAAATTGGTTGATAAAATATAGTGTCGCTAATATCAAGGCTTGTTAAGATAAAAATGGGATTAACATAGAAGAGGTACCTTTTATCGCTTGTTGCATCGAGCCTGGTCAGGATATAAAGTATATAAAGGAGTATGAGATGGAGTGTTTCAAAGAGAGCAGATGAAAATGCTTTGTCATCATCAGAGCAGCATCACTGAAGTCTATGACAGGACTCAACTGTACTTACTCAGCTGCAGTATGTGAAAGCTGATAACATCAAAGATTGAGAGAACACAGCTGACCCACTGTGCCCACCGATACACAGGCTGAAGACGTGTTGGAGAAATCTTGAGGAAGAGAAATCTGAAATGGAGTGAGTGACACAGAACAATGCTTAATTGTCCCCCTTTCATTTCATCACTTTTTTCTCCAACCAGACACATTTTTGCATGTGCTCTTCAATGCCTCAAATGTCCTCAATATTCCTCATTCAAATTCTCTGTCTCAGTCTCTCACCATTATATTTCTGACGTCAACTAGCACCAAAAGTACTAGTATGAAAGCACCCTTACTTTTGTATTGATTTAAAGAAAAGGTTTCATGAGGATTTTCCCCTTCTTGGACTCTAGTTGATTGTTAGTCTTTCTTACAGCTCATTAATAGACATGTATAAATACTTTAAGAATATGTATTTTTAGAGTGAATTGAATGGATAGGTACTTTGATTTTCGCAGAAATTTAGGTAGAGGCATGTTTTTCCAATGAGCCTTTATGTTTCAGACACAGCCACTATGTTCTGGTGTACAAAAATACTTTAATACTTTAGTATTCAACAAGCACTTTTGGCTGTGGATTCCTGTTACTTTTGCTCTGCATAAATAAATATGAATACAATTAATATAAATATAGGCAGAGTTGGATCTCCACATTTACCTGCAGGTACTGTGCTGTTTAGTAGTTTATAAATATAAGTGTGATTTCTGATACTATTTCTTTAATTGTAGTTAATATTAGTTAATGGCACCTGATGGAGCAATTGAAAGGAGTAAATTAATTCTGATTCTATTCAGTGGCCCCCAATCACATATCGAAATATCGACTAAATAGTGATAAAAGTGTGTTAATTTTATCCGAAACAGATTAAAATTAATCTGGTAACATTTTATTATCTTGGTAGTTGTGAGCGGTGCTATGAGGTTAATCACATTTGAAAATAATGTACCACCAACACTAAACCATATCCAAATCCCAACCAATAGTGTTAAAAAAGCAAGTGTGAGATAAAAACTCACTTGCTACCACACCATAAGCTTGCTTCCACAAGTCTTTGAGCTCTTTTATCATGACTTGTGTTTCACAGCACTCATACCTGAGTGCTCTACATCACAAATGCAATGCTGTACCAGGTGAGTAACTGAGCAAGTTTACAATGCAGTAAACTAATATAAACTAACAGTAAAATGTATAGTTTACAAATCATCAGTGGTGGAAAGAGTACTGAAAAAATATACTTAAGTAAAAGTACCATTACCTTCCATAAAATGTAGTGTGAGTAGAGTGAAAGTACTTGTCCAAAAAACTACTTGAGTAAGAGTAAAAGAGTAGCCTACATTAAAGGTAAAGTACATTCTTTAATTCACATTATCTTGTTTGTCATAAAGAATGAAGAATATCTTTCATCCAGCCGTTTTAATTTTGACTGCCAACTCTTTAAAATACATTTAAAAAGCACGGAAACAGTATTCAGTTGAAGAAAAGATGAAAGTTATTCTCAGTACTATCATCCCCATTTAAATCATAAAGTTTGAAAAAAATAGATTTAAAATCATGTGTAAGGCCACTGAGACAGCATGCTGTTGTTGCACATAAAATATTA